AAAAACAAAGCACAAATAGTTATATTTATATCAGATACAAAAAAAGACACACACTCATACCCGGAGCACTAAAACAAAAATTCTTGAAGTTACCTCAAAAGCTAAATACGAGCACATGTAACTTTTCTTAACATAGTCAGCCTATAACTCAATAATTGCTTATGCCGTTTTGAAAAGTCATAAAAATATGCATAAAATGTTCAGGTTTCATTCGTAAAATAATATTTAACAATGCCTGTCTCATATCATGCAATCATCCAACCATGCACTGTCCATGTAAAGACGATTTTATTTACGGAAATACGGCAAAGTCATGATCACGTTACGAAATTCTTTTTTTTTTTTTACAGCACTGCAATCTCAGAATGATGGTTTTCCTTCACGCATGTCATTCTGTAAACTCTTCATTCCGTCCGAAAATATTACATGCCACTTAAATGCAGTTAACGACTTCATTTACTTTGTTTCCCGATTGGTAAATGTTTTCGATAGTTTACAGAATGAATTTGTCTCTGTAGGTCCGATGTCTGTGCAAAATTTTATCACTGTTCATTGCTCCACCTATACCAAAAACGTCTCTTTATTTAACAATTCCGATCCTGTCCTAATATGTTATAACTAGTTGCTCAGCCATTTTGAATTTTTGAACGTTCAAATTTTGCAGGTTTGACGTGATAGCTTCTGGCAACATCATAATGTAAAATTCTTTCAGATTTATTTATTTATTTATAAAGTAATAAATATTTTTTTATTAAAATTTTGCTGTCTCCGGGTCCCCATTCTAAGTCTAATTATGAACCCATAATTGTAATTAAACATTTGAAATTGAATAAATTCTTACATTTTTTAATTTACAATTAATTAAGGATTAGAAATATGCCAATAATAAATATCAATGACACAACTTTTATTAAATCTTTTTAAGCTTGTCCACGAACTTTACGGACAATCCTCGTATGATTAACGTTCTCACGTTTACCTCGACACCCGTTGAGTTGTATAAATCAGTTGTCTTACATGTCAAAGAGAGGAGTGATCTATCCTCCAACTCATCTGTTATAACAACCACAGGACCCAGGATTTGTCCTACCTCTTGAAAGAGTAAAAAATTTAAAAAGGACAGAAGCAAAAGGAATATCTTATTCATGTATCTTTTTCCACAGACACTCTTACACACAAATATTATGGTTTAATCTCAAAATAAAAAGGTGTTTTTGATTGTGATGGGTATTCTATTAGAGATTTAAGAAAATCTTATGTCAGCTCGCTGTTTATCAGCATACATTCAAACTTTAAGTGTTATTTATAAATAGAATCCATTCAAATGGAGAAAGTATGTTAAATATAGATAGACAATCATTACATAACTAAGAATTCATAATTAAAGTACCTGGTATTGTTTTTATTCTTATAGATTTCCGCTGCATTCTTCGTCCCAAAAATATCTATGTGAATACGCTGTTTCGCAACTTATTACTGTGTCTAACTGCTCCCCTTTCAAAGATAGGAAGGACGTCACTGTTTGGCTTACTTTACAGTGTTCATCGAAAATTCTTGTTGTTTGAACTGAAGGCGGATCTTAAATTTGAGAAACCCGTTACCCCAGGCCCAGGTCAATGTCAAGTTCTACAAAAACAACATCAACAAAAGTTCTTGGATTCCATCCAGGATCCGGAGATGCTTTTAAGAAATAAACAAACAAAAAAAGTTCAGTCGTTTGGGAGGAGACTAAGGAACATAAATCTACAAGCATTGTCCTATCATTGACTGCATTATAATATGTAATTAATATTGATTGTGAAGTTTGGCTGTTGGCCGTTTTTAATTATAATTCAGTTTGTTTGGTATCTATTTTATCAGATAAACCAAAATTAATCGAAATTATAATAATAATAAAAAAAACGTTGACGTGTTAACCTATTTTTAAAAAAATCTGAAGTAAGACAGAAATATTTAACAAACCCTCAATAAAATGTACAAATATGAATCAAAAATATTTACTCACAACACACGCTATTTGAATCAACTAAGGTTTACCCATCAAAGAACCCTTACAACTTAAAATAAAACTTCCCTCTATCAATACCTGCTTTGAACCTCATTCTCTTAGAATGTAATACTAACCCGGTATATGAAATCTATTAACAAACTAAAAGATATGTAATTTATCAAAGCTATTTAGATTTAATGAAAATGATTTAAAAGTTGGTATTTCTTACCTCCAAAACTTCATAATTAAATGTTGAAACATCACCACGGCAAACCACCTTTATCAAACTTTCTGACGGAAAAAACTGTGTGGCATTTTCGTTATTCACTCCTTTATGGCGAATATAGAAAGACTCAATTGATGCTTCATCTATTTATTAAAAAAAGTTTCATCCATATATTTCTAACATTGAGCGATGCATACCAAAATTGATGCATAGTCAAATTAAAAATCAATCTTTAAGAATTATTTCGAGCACCTACCAGCTATAAGGACCTCTCTTGTTATTTTCCTTTCTTCGGTTTCATTTCTTACAATCGAACATGTTAAATTTACTCGTCCACATCCACCATTCACGAGTTTTGCAGAACACCTTGTCTTCCTAATCATTGGACATGATGACAGTTCTATGTGAGTACCATTAACAAGGTTTTGTCCGATAATAATTTTTGCTGTAGAGTTTTGCCTGTAGAATTTTCTATCATACCCTCTGCACCTTAATGTTTCTCCGGAGCCGTACACTCTATCTCTATGAAAACCATAATCAAATCGTAGATCTGCAATAGATAAGGGGACAAACTGAACCACCTACATTTACCTTTGATAGCACAATCCTTAATAATGAGGTTTAAACTTACAGTATTGTCCAAGAACATCGACTAATAACAGACTGCAAAGTAGAGAAATGGATATCACCCTTTCCATGGTTGACACAATATGTACTGTTTATGAAGAAGGAAGTACTTTAGTTGGGTTTTAAAAGAGTCCCTTAATAAGTAGATAATTAGGTTTCCGTTTCAAACGGAAGACCTTCTACTGATTCTGTTGGTAAATATTATTATTCTTTTTTTTTCTTCTACTTCCTAGACGCCAACTTTAAAGCCTCATATCTCACTCATTTCTCAATTGATTTCGCTCAAATTTTCAGGGGTACTAGAAGTTACTAAACTCTATCAGAATGCTTTCAAAAATTTCAAAAAGTCACTTCCGGTTTAGAGTTATTTCCCTTTAAACGAAAATTTATAGGCTTTCGTTTCCAGACAAAGGCTCAGAGACGGCTAAAGCTGGAGCAGAAATTCTACTGATTTTAGATAATAGAAGGATTGAAGTTGTGCACATCGGTTTTTGTTTTTCGATTTCTCTATTAAAAATGGCGCTATATAGGGGTCAAAAATTAGAACGCTTAAAAAAAGCCAAAAATTATTTATATTTTGCTTTTTTTTTATCTTCTAAACTAAAAATATTTTGATAAGATATATAGAACATAATTTGTGCAGAATTAGAAGATCTTTCAAATGATATCTCGGAAAAAGGGCTGGTCCCTAAAATTAAGGGTCAAGAGGGGCCAAAAGTTTTTCATTCATATCTCAAAAAGTATTGAGAATTTGTAATACATCAAAGAAGCAAAGTTGTTCAATATGTCAAGCTCAATCTATTGAGGTCGTCAAACCGGAAGTAGTCGGAAAATGCATATTTTGCCATTCTTGACAAGTTTTTGGGTAACATCTGTCACTAGGAGCATAAAAATTAATTTTCCTTCCGTCATCGTCACTTCCGGTCAAACCGGAAGTAGCAAAAAATGGCTGATTTTTGCATTAAATAAAATAGCTTTAGAGGATTTAAACAATTTTAGGACGTAATAACTCATTTTTGTAAAAATGAAAATTACTTCCGGTCAAACAGGACGGAAGACCTTCTCGTTGCTTTGCAACGAGCTTTGCTCTAGTTGTCAGTAATTATCGTTTAAGAGTTCTTATTTATGTACTAGGCATACAAATGAAATATGAAGATATGGAACAGTAATCGTGTTCAAACGTACATTTAAAAACCAACAGCAAAGCAACCTCAGGCCTCTGAAAACATCACAGGGTGTGTTTTGGATGAAGAAGCAACCCCTGCTGACGGTCCTACCTACAGTGCTGTCCATATGTCATGTTTGAGAAAACGAGAAGATCTTGCTAAGTAACCAAGTTACTTTTAAAATTGTTCGTATGTAGAGCAAAATATTGCGTATCGACTCAACTTGCAGAAATAATCCTAGTATTCCTGTGAGAAGTGTATGCTACTACTATAAGTGGGATGAAGTTGACGATAGAAAAGTTTTCTTTATTATTTTATACTTATTCGTAAGAAGTAACAACTTGAAAATACGGTTATGCATAATTATTTAATATTTCATTTGGTTCCATTTGATTTCGATTTGGGTTCTTTGGATTTCCATTTGGGTCCATTGGATTTCCATTTTTATTTCATTTGATTTTCATTTGAGTGAACCAACATGCCGGACATCAGATTTTTCTGATTATTACAACAAAAGTATTAAGGACATAATTTCTCATTCATGATAGATATATTGATACTCATTTACACAAAACAAAATAATAAACCATAATTTAAATATTCAGCTTCCATTTATTTTTATTATTTAACACATAACTTTTACATATGTTCAAATATTCAAATTAAGCCATATCAGTGTCAGTGATTTTTATCACATTTCATCACTCCTTACTATCTGCTGGTTCAAACGTGTAATAGACAGTTCTCTGTATCTCTGATAGATCTATGTATTAAAGCATCTGAGTGTAGGTTTAGAGGAATTGTTTAGGCAGCTTCAAAAGAAAATAAATCAAACTATATACAGTAAAACACGGTTATAGCGAAGTCCTGGGGACCGGTGAATTTAATTCGCTATATCCGTAATTCGTTATATCCGTATAACGAATTGGTATAACTCATATATAGCGAATTCGCAGTATGCATGTTTTCTTTCCAGTGTTACTATCAAATATGTTAGGGAAGCAAATATTACAAAACATACCTCCGATAACTAAGGTTTTATTATGAATTGAATTTTATATACAAATGCTGAGAGAAAATAAAGTCAGTTCCATTATTCAAATTTTGAAATCTTTGAAAGTTCGTTATAAAAGATGTAAAATTCATTATATTCAATCTCAACGGGACTCAAAATCAGTTCGCTAGATCCGTAAATTCGTTATATCAGAGTTCATTGTAACCGTAAAATTTTACAAAGATTTGTTAAGAATTTTGCCGGGGATCCATAAAAACTGAAAAACTAAAAAATGAATTCGCTATATCCGTTTTCGTACTTAACGTGTTTTACTGTACATGTATAACTTGTACAAAATGTTCAAGTGTTGGATGCATAGGGCTTTATTGTGGCAATAAAATAAAGTAAAGAGTACAATGTGTTTTCATTATCTTGAAGTACATATATTTGCACTGGTACAAATTTTAATTAATTGAAAGAAAGGAATCATAAAGTCAAGCATTTAATCAAAAAGTAGAATACAGACCCCTATATATCCTTCAACTATCCCTTGCTTTGAGGTAACCTTATATATCAAAGTTTTATTTAGACTATGCCCTAATGTATTCTTAACGTTATAAAAGCATAGTGACGAAATGTTTGTTGCAATGTTTACCCAAGGGCGTTTCAACTGCAGAGATGTGCTTAAATCGGCTTAAAAAAGCTTGTTTTGGAAGACAATTGAAAAAATAGTTTGCAGGATAAAACTTCACGGTAGCAGAATGGAAATATAAGCAATATTTGGGTTCGTGTCGAAAACGTGATTGAGGTCCCATTTCTTTTTCAAAATAGTAACCATGTACTTTATATATATCACACTGAATCATCGACACACATGCACAAACACAAAGCACTGTATCCCTTCCGGTTTTGTTACAAGGACATGATAAAGCCTCTGTTTCCTGCACAAAGATTAGTTTCTTTTATAACTTTTTTAAACCAAAAGTATCAAAACATGTTATTATCATACTGTGTGTTAAATTATTACAGAAACAAGTGTCTGTGGTTTCCTGTGCTCGATTTATCCTTTTATATATAATATTTCCTTCTGTGCGTTTAATATGTAAACTACAATACTAAACCTTACCTTTTCATCATTCACAAATTTGCTTGGCTGTTACATCGGATGTGAAATAATATCATCACTATGTTGAGTGGTTACGAACATTGATATACATCACTTAATATGCTTCAGAAATTATTAAATGCAGCATACAAGGGATTAAAGTCTTTGTCAATATGTAAATATATGGTGACTTAGTTGATACATTTACCCACACCATAAAAATATAAGGATCCTAATTTGACTCGGGATTTTCCTATTTCTAGTTGAACAAACACTTTCATCATTGAATTTGTCCATATGAGTCATTATATTTTATTGACCTGATAGTCTGGCCCTGATTTTTAAAGAAGAAACTAGAGATATTTTTTTAACGGCAAACATTTATTATTTGGTCCAGTTTATTTTTTTAAAACCTATTTCAATTATGTTGAATCCGAACAACATGCCGGCCTTCATGAAATGACGTTAAAAAGGCTAAAATGGCGATTCAAAATTGCGGACATCCAATTGTTATAATTTTCTATTATGTCGTTCAAATGATATGCATCTGACTATTCTACAACTGATTGATGGTGCAGCTGTGAGTTTAAAGTAAAAATGTAGTTTCAAACTGGCGGATTTTCATTTTCCCCCCTCAAATTTTTTTTTGATGTCGTTTAAATAGGAGAAACGATTTGTGAATATCTAACTGCAAAAAATAAATAACAGTTTGCATTTTTAAATTCATAGAATAATGTTCAAATATCCAGTTAAAGTTTGAAGATATTGTTGTTAATGATTTATGATTTTTATGACACGGATCTTTGTTTATATTTACTTCCATTATTAAGATAAACCTTTGACGACTATTCCGAAGACATATTACATATTTCCTGTCTCACAAGGCATCTTCATATAAAAAGAGTTAATAATTTCATACGATAATTGCTATTCAGGAGACAATGTGACAACTAAGCTACCCCAAGAGCAGTATTCCCCGATCATAAAGACGGACAAACGTACATTATACACTTATGTACTGGTCATGAGGACAGTAGCAAGTTTATCGTTCCCCAAGACAGCAAACTCTTTCCCGAGGGTGACGATAAACTTGCTATTGTCTTTATAGTGCGTAAATAGGTGTTTTATTATACCGATGCTGACTTTACTTTTGTTACGTCATAATATGCAATGTATACGTCACAATCGGTATAAAATCAGAAGTTTTCCGAGATGAAAAGCGAGGGAAACAAAATGCTTCGGCTGAATAGTTTGATGACTATTTCACCATTGACAGATAGCACAAAAACTTTTTCACGGTAGGGGCTATTTGGGAAAAATAGCATGTTTATTCGTCATATTTTTATATAGAACAAAGTCATAGAGGTATAATAATAATGAATGAATGTTGTATCAGCTGTGCGCAAGGATCAAATGTTCGTAACATCAGAAACCATTGATAAGAAGAGATAATTTATTTTCAACCTCTTAATTTTCTTTTAAAATAAAACGCTTTATTGAGGTGTTCCTAAAAGACAAGACGGACCGTGAGTATGTTTTATGATGTGTAATGCTGTTCTTAGACCAGTTTGTGAAAGCGATTTCATTACCTACAGAAACAATTGCATCAGGAATTACCCGTATGCTTTACATCTTTAGAACACATATCAAATTAAACAGGTCGGAGGAATTTATCGAAATCGGGTATTATCCGTGAAATCGCATATAATACTCGATATTAGGGTATCGTTGAATCCGCGAAATCGGGTATAGGAGGTGTAATCACCTAATAAAACTTAAAGAATGGGATGGCGCATGTTGCCGAGTTAAC